TATATATATATATATATTTGCTGTCTAAGACAGATAAAAAAAAGAAAACTATAGATTACAATGTCAATATCCATTCTAAACTATATTAATAATTAAAATCTCCATCATGAGAGTAATTTTATTGAATTTTTTATCTTTTTCACGTTTACTTCTATTAAAGGTTATTTAAAAAGTTTTTTTTTCGTTTTATCGAACATTTTTCATCATATCTTTACTTTAAAATTATTGTAATTGTGGAATGTCATTTCTCACTGTTTAACATTAATATTTTCAACGTATTATTATGAAACATTTTAACATTTTGCTATTTAAAATGTAAAAATATTATTACGCATTTGAGGAATAGTTTAAAAAAAACTTTGCTCTTTGAGATATAGTTTCTAGTTTGGTATCGCTGGCATTATTTATATCAGTTATTAAAGTTATATCTATCTTTCATAAACTCCTTGATGCCATATTAAAAGGATTGGTTTATTTATATGTTTCCGCAAAAAATAAACAAGCTAATGATTTGCACAGTGTTAATAAACACTCTTTTATTGAGTTAAAAAACGTCGGAAATTTCGAGGACCAAAGGGAAAAGCTCGGTCTATATCTTTTTTTCCCGTAAATAATGGATAGATCTCATAAATAATGGATAATGGATCTTCCTCTCTTGCCGTTTGGGGATTACTATGTTTTAAGTGTGAAATCAGTTCTTCCTGAGAGTTATCATGCAGTGAAATTGGATCATAATGAGGAAAAACCTTTTTTTTTCTTGAGTAAAATCGATTTTTCTTTGAATCTTTTCTTATATGCATAAAGATTTCTTTTTTGTGGTCTTAATTAAGTTAATTATAAATATCTATAATAAACATTATAAATATAAATACTTTACTTTATAAATATTTGTAACATTGCTGAAAATTTTTGGGAAAAAACATGAATAGTTGTAATGTCATATTTTTGTAGACAGGTCTCTTGAGTCTGAGTTATTATTGAAGGGATTTAAGTCATAGCCGATGGAAAAGAAAATATAGGAAATTTAATTTGATATTAACTCTTTGACTGAATTATTGTATTTTCTTTTTTTTCATCTATCGACTTATGAAAAATACCGGTCACTTCAATAAAAGAAAAATAATTTTTCTCTTTATTTATCAGAGCCATCTATTTATTATTGTTATTATTATTAATAATAATAATGAAATAAAAAAACAAGGTAAATGAGGATAATTTTGCCCTAACTCCAAGTTGATTTGAAAGATCCTCTCTTTTTAAGAAAGCAAGATCATTTCGATTGAAAATTATGTACTCAAATAAATTCTTTTTATTTTATAAATTTTTGAGATTTCTTAAAAAATTACAAACTATAATAACTATCTTAATTATGTAAAAATAATCTTACAGAATGTTTAAATAAATTTTCTAAATAGAATATAATAGTTTAAATTATTCCTTTCAAAATATTTTATGCGTCAACGGATCTCAAAAATTAAAACACATTTCTTAGCACACTCTTAATTAGAATCTAATATGCTTTCTAGATTTAAAACAATATTTTTCGTCAACTTCCCTTATGTCTTTTTAAAATAGTTCCAAAAAAGCGAAAAATCAGAAATATTTCAGTTGCAAATGATTAACATGAAACAATCGGGCTCATTACTTTTATTTTGCAGTAAATTTCGTGAAAAGTGAACACTTTATTGAAACTGCGTAGCATAATATTTTTTTTCTTCGTCTTTTACATTCTTTTTAAAATATATTCATTCACAATTAACTTCAACTTACTCATGTAAAAGATTTACAGAATTTTATTTTTCAAAAATTTAGCTTTAATCTTATAAAAAGTTACAAAACTGAGATATTAACGAATTTCTAGAAACTATAACTAAAAATTGAACTGTGTGTAGAATGAGGGAAAGAAACATGAAAATTACCCCAAAAGGAAAATGGTTTCGTAAAAAAAAGTTTAAAATATCGTTTATGATTTAAATTTCTTAAACATAGAAAATACATTAGTATTATAAATTATATATTTATGAATGTGATACTTGAAATTTTTATGTATCCTAAAGTATGAATGAATACTCTTTGTAGTAAATGTATATATTTTCCTTCGAAAATGCAGATATTTATTTAAAATCATGTAAGAACATTTTTTTTAAACTACAGCAATTATAATCGAAATTTTAAAATCCCAATAACTTTATATATAACATGAATTTAAAACAGAACCTAAAATTAAAAACTATTTATTTGAGTTTATGTAAAATATATTGCTTTGATATTTTATTTCAATTTGATTCAATTTACTTAAAAGAGCGCTTTTCGATTCTGATTATTTCATACATTTAATATACAATTGAAAATATTCCTTAAATTATATCTGTAATAAAGAAATTAATTTATCAAAAAAAAAAAAAAAAAAAAAAAAAAAAAAAAAAAAAAAAAAAAAAAAAAAAAAAAAACTCACAACTAGAACAAAAAAATTTGTACAAAAAAATGGCGACATTGAAACTGACTAAAAAAGAAGTAAGAAAACGGCAGAGCACAAAAAAGTACATAAACTTGGAATATATGTTTGAAGGTAGGTGGAAAATGCAAAGAAACTCTTCTCCCCTTAACTTAAAAAGGTGAGACCTCCCGTAGTGACTAAAACAATAAAACACACACCCCTGTAACTTGATCCTCGGTCTTAACTGTGGAGGAGATTCCTTTCCCTATTCTTAAGCTGAAAGTGTCACATGCCCACCAGCAGACCCCAAGATCAGATGTGACAACTGCTGTCACAGCCCCCTGGAAAAGGATATATATATATATATATAT